ATAGTGGAAAAGAAACGTATAATGCGTATGAAAATCGTCTCAATGAAAATTCAGGTAAGAAATAAAAACTGTATGATATGACAAACGAAACTAATTTTACGTGAAAATACTTTTCCATTTTTCTCGTTTAGGATATGATGTTTGTGGATTTTACTGTTCGACGTCTAATGATCAGCAGACTAGAATTAAACTCCCTAAACACAAAGAGTTTGCCGATTATAACACTCGTTTAAAGACTTTTGAAAACTGTCCAAAAAAATTGGAATCAAAAATATCAAGACTTTGTGATGCTGGATTTTTATACATAGGTATGGGACTATACAGTATTGAATGCATTATTATGATTGGTACATTTATTCAAATTCATTATTTATAAGTGTATATAATTTTTAGGTAATGGACAAAATGATCAAATGTTATGTTATTGCTGCAGTCAAGGTTTGAAAGATTGGGATGATGAAGACAACCCATGGGTAGAACACGTACGTTGGTCTCCTAGCTGTACTCATGTATTGTTATGTAAGGGACAGTTATTTATCCAAAATAATAAAATAACGAAATAAGACTACTATTATTTGTTATTCTTATATAGTATTGTAGTTTGAAAAATAAATAAAGATTTTTAATATTGTATCTTGTGTGTTATATGAAACTGTATAAAAGATACAGTGTGTAATAAATAAAAATATCAATTTTCGATTTAGTAAAAAACATAATATACTACTAAATTTATAATTTGTATAATATAAGAGGGTTTTTGTATTCACAAACGTTCAAATCTACAAAAAAAAAAAAACAGACACGTGTGACTTTATCAGCTTTATTGTGTTCGAATTATGTGTATATATGTATTTATTTTCTAACTTAAATGAAAATTAACAAAAATATTGCTAATCTCGCTTGTTTTTTCTTTTACACTCAAACCTTACATCCAGTAAATATTCTATACGTTTTTTATCGTTAAAATACGTTTCACTTTGCTATCTACAACATTGTGTAAAATAAACAATAATATCCATGTAAGCAATTTAGTGATCCCTACTAGTAAGATATTGAATTCCTAGGGATTTTTATCCCAAACAATTGACTATATTGTGCCTAAAATATAAATTTTACTATATAACTGTAGAAATAACCCTTTATCTGTTCATTCACTTTTTGGTGTTTTTATGGTTCTTTTCATCTATATCTACAACTGTGTTTCACGGCTATTCCTGTGCATTTTTCAACAGTTATTAAATTGTAAGTAAAATTTTTAAATTGTTATAATATCTTTCACGTTCAATGCATCTATTTATTTTTTATAATCTATATTACTTATAAATTTCAAAAAGTTTTTTCATTAATTAAATTTGTTTACTATAATTAAAAAGAAAAAAATATATATATGGTACTTGTTGCATTGAATGATAAAATTACGTTATTGATTACATTTGTTGTGCAAATAAAATTTTCATTCGTCTTTTTTAGTAGTAATTTATTTGTTTTTAACCCTTTCATGTATTTATTTATTTTAAAAATCGATAAACTTATGAAAATTTGCCAAAAAATTAATTTATTAAATACATTTTTTTTTATTATAATCTAAAATAATTTATTTTATTCAAACCAGTTTTAAAATTGTTTTGTGACACAATTGTAGTCTGCACAACTAATGTATGATTAAAACTAAAATTATAGTATTTTAAGTAATACAATCACAAATTTTTAGGTTAAATATATTCAATAAAACCGTTCCAGAATCTTTTTCAAGTGTATCTGTTTTCGTGTATTTAATCAAAAGTAAGTTATTATCTATCACTAATCAGTTCAAAATGTACTTATAAGTTTACAATAATTTTAGTTAATCAAAATGAAATTACCAAAAAGTGTCAATAATATAGAACATCTAGTTGGATATATGGAAAGTACTGGAGTATTATGCTTTTTAGAAATCGCCGAAAATTTGAAAATATTTCGAAATCGCACAGCTTTTTACCGGGGAGTAATGAATGATGGTTTTATTATTCGCGATCCGGAAGCATTACGAACCATACGGAGCTGTGCCGATTTATACAAGAGTGAAATTCGAGCGGGTAAATTAATAATGCTGTTTGGCGAAAAAAATTATTTAAAATTTAATTTTTATAATGTACGTTATCCCGACGGCTCCACGGCATCTATTTGTAGGTCGGGTACATGTTTTGTAGAATTATCGAATATTCAGGAACGTGTAATTGTACAAAAGGTGGTTGAGGAGTTTGTTCTCAACCACTATTCTATGCACTTTTTGATATTGCATTTTCCACCTCACTGTTCATGTAAATTTTGTGATGAACAAATATTTACATGGACAGTGTAGATTAATTGTTGTATAATATACAATATTATATAGTTTTGTTTAGTTTATAGTTTAGTATATAGTTTTGTAAATATATTTAATGTATTATATTGAAATATTAAAATAAATATATTGTATTAATGGTGTGTATGTGTGTACTTGTTTTCACTAACTTATAAAAAAAATGTATTGATTTCCTTATTAAATAATCTAATGGTAACAATGTAGTAACAATCAGGTCATTTGTATCGGGTATGTATCGTAAAATGAAATGGTGAATAGATTAGTATTTATGTTGTAAAGGTTAAAGAATATTATCTTATGTAAACATATGTGTGTGTGTGTGTGTACTACGCTCCGATACAAACTCAACGATTTCTATAGTATATTATGACGAATAGTTTGTAAACAACTGTATTATTAAAGAAAAAAAAACTCAGTTTATAAATGGTTAGATGAGTACACATAGCTGAAGGAGTCCATCGGATGTATTGTAGCTCAGTGATTTATCTTAAACATAAACAAGTAGAGAGAGGAAAGGGGTAGTATGCTATGAGAGAATACCGATATGAATGTCAAATTAATGGTCTCGTGGCAAGCGGATGGAGGTGACGAAAAAAAAAATTCATAGCACTGTTTTCGAATTATGTGCAAATTTTGGGAAATTTATATTACGTGGTGTTCTCCTCCGTGTCATGCAGATGATAGTAGTTATTGTTAAAAATGTATGTATCAGTGTCGAGTTGTACACCATTAATACAACATTCACCATATATATATATATATATAGTTAACTCACGAATAATTTTGGTGTGTAGAAAATGGAACAATTAAAACAAAAAATGAATAATCAAACCAAAGGCATGGAGTACATTAAAATGTCTGACTTAGTAGAGAATCATGCCTATAGAGTTGATTCAATGAAAAATTTGACAACGAGAAACGGTGTTGTGGTGGTGGCACGGTTGCCCGACAACCGACAAGTTTTTGTTCCAAGAATACAGTTGACGGACGATGAAATTAAAACGTACAACGACGGCGACACCAAAATGTCACTTTGTTACAGAGGAAGAACGGGAAATGCTTAATTTGATTTTCAATAAATTTTTTTTTTAATGTATTAACTTTTTTTTTAACAATCAACAAATCTGTTTGTATCTAATGATGATTTATGTACAACAATTGAAATAAAATTATATAGTTCATTCACAATCTATTTGTGTTTACATTATTACTCCGATAGTATAGAACCTAATAGTAGTTTATGACAAAGGTAAATTATACTTTAGATTAATATTATAAGATTAATAGTTTTTCAAATTGGTGGAAAATGTAAAAACAAAAATCACAATAGCAATACTTTAGAGTAGATTTTATGAAGAAAAAAAAAAACTCATGTATTCAAGTTTTACACACCATTGATAATATAATCCGTTAACAGTCCAGTAGTGTTTACTCCAATAGTAAAAGTACATTGAACTGAATAGTTGATTAAAGAGGTGGCCATACACACGTTTAACTAATGTATTAATTTTTCAATAGTTGTTATCATGTCGTTTGTATGCGGTTGTGGGTCTTCATTTGTCGATAGTACTGGTTTGAATGTTCATTGTAGTATGAATCAGGGTCACCGTCATACTGTTATTTCAGGGAAACGATGTTTGTCAGCGCCTGCGGGTAGGGTGACCAAACGCGCGTGCATGCACGTTGCAGGGACCGGTTTTGTTCCTATAGATTCTGCACTACGCGGTCAAGTGATACATTATTTTTTGAAAAATGGAACGTCTATTGACGACATTAACGATTTTATTCGATACGTGAGTGACGATTTAACCACCGTACTAAATGACGTTACCAAGCACGGTATAATAAAATTCAACGTTGTACTGCACACAACGTACATACACCAAGTTATGGGGGAAATGAGAGACGTATCGTTTAAAACGCGTAACAAAACTGTCGATTCAGGTACCGTATATGCCGCCGTTTTGGATGGAATCACGGAGAAACTCGTGTACGAACAACAGGAAATGGAGACCCGAGGTAGCGGGTGGTCGCTATTATTCATAGACGAACTGCTGTTGAGAGTCACAAAAATTACACCATTTAGCGGGGGCTCGTACATTGAACTTCCATTGTGTATTAAACGAAAATTTGCGGTCATAAACGTAAGAAACGCGCGACCAACAGTGTTTTAAATGGGCGATTTTATGTAAGTACAGCAAGAATAAAAAACATAGGGACCAACGGAATGCAGGTTACATTGATCTGGAAAAATCCACTAATATACGTTTTGACGGCATTGACTTTCCTACACCATTGAAACAAATTATTCGATTTGAACGTAATAACCCGTCAATTTCGGTCAATGTGTTTGCGTTGGACGATAAAAATAACGTGTATCCGTTGCGTATCACTAAATCGCGTACGAGCACCGATCATGTTGATTTACTTTACGTTACCGAGCCGGGAAACAGCCACTATTGTTATATATCAAATTTCTCGAGACTCGTGTCAAAACAACGAACCGAGGGCAAACGACACGAGTACTATTGTAAACGTTGTTTAAACGTATTTACCAATCGTTCGTTAAAGACTCAACCGAGCGGGCAAGCGGGGGTGGATGAGCACATTAAAATGTGTGGAAAGTTCAAGGAGGCCCGAGCCGTCCTTCCCGCACCCGATTCCGACCAGTCGGTACTGCGGTTCAAAAACACAAGGCGAGAAGAGCCGGTTCCAGTGGTTGTGTACGCAGACATGGAGAGTTTGTTGGTTCGCGCCGAGCACCAAGTGTCCAAGTACTGTACGGTTACACAAAATCACCAGGCGATGAGCTACTGTTTCTATGTGGTTCGCGATTCCATGGTGTTGCCGAAAAATATTTGCGATGGTCTACCAAACGAACCGGTACTGTACCGGGGACCGGATGCGGCCAAACACTTTATCACGACGTTGGTAACCATTGGTAAACGCATATCGGACATAATGAAGGTGAACATCGATATGACGAAAATCCCTTAATTTCTCTCTCAATCATGAATGAATTTGACAAAATATCCATTAATTTAAGATTTATATTATGCTGAATTTAATAACTGCTAAACATTTAACATTATTTCATTTGTACACCATAATTTTATCATAACATACATCACTTGTTGATTGTCTGTTTTGCATTAATATTATTAATTTTTTTTCTCTTTTTCTGCTCACGGATTTTTTTTCCTCAATCACAATAAAATTAAACTGAGTCATTTCATTATCACACACTAATAAACGCATTCATTTACTAATTTTTATTTCTTATTTATTTATTTTTTCTTCTGTCTCTTCAATAATTATTTATTTATAACAATGTTCCCTTGAAAGAAAATTATTTTTAAAAAAACTCTTCCTAGCTACCTACAGCATCACCAAATTTGCATTTACAATGTGTGAATCACTTGGATGTACTGCATCATCAGCTGGGTAATAATATGCATTCGATTGGAGTTTTAAATTATTAGGTGCCGACTTCAACAGCGTTACCCACTACTTCTTACATAAATAACATCAACAACACTTTTAATTAGTAAAATAAAATTAAATAGACACAAACACTTTAGTGCCCAACGATGACTACAGGTTGGGTTGGGTTGGGTTGGGTTGGGTTGGGTTGGTGACAAGTTGTGACAAGCGTGGTAAAATGTCGATTGCCTTCGTAATATTTTTAATTAATCTAAGAAAAGTGTGTAATTGGTTTATTTACACCCGCGCGCCACATCCTCATAGATCAGTCGTAGAGTCGTTAGTGCTAATCAGATACTAGTATAGTTGTTAATAGTTAATGTTGGTAACTAAATTTGATACTTTTAGCTTCAATGCGAAGCTGAGAAGGTATTGGTTTTACTATGATGTGTTTTTTTTTTTTTTTGTGTCTGTTACCACTTTTTCTCAGCTCTCACCGAACGGATTTCTTTCAACGATACGTCAAAAGATCACAAATTGTATCTAGTTGAAGATAATACCCTTCAAAATTGAAAAAATTCCCCTCGTTCCCCGTAAATGGGGGAAACCTCCAAAAAATTACAAATTTAAAAATCGTTAATTTTCGAAATTTTTTCAATTTTTTTTACTTAAAAGTGCCATAACTTTTTCAAAAATGAACATATCAATATGACTCTTTTTTATATAGATGTGTACTATCATTACCTTTCGTTTGGTATATTTTTTAAAAAAATTAACCCTTAACCTGCCCACAAGGGGGGATTTAAAATGACAACTTTTTCACAAAAAATTAACTTTTTCAACTTAACTTTTGAAAATGTTCCGGAAGGTCTGACACTTTTATATATATCTTAAATTAAAGCTAATGTATTGTTCTTTATTATGCAAAAAAAATATTTCGGACTTTATTTTCTCTTCACGGTGAAAATGGCTACCGAATGCTATTTTTGTGTGAAAATTTTCGATTTTGTATTTTACATTTTTAACTTTATAATGTTTAACATATTATAAAGTGTATGGAACAACATTATTTTTTTATGAGAAATAATATATTAAATAATCCCTTTTTCATTCTACATACTTTATCTTAATTAGGATATTAATAATGAACTAGCAGATTATGTAGCTTTTGGAATAGTCCACCAATTTTTTAAAATTAAACAGTATCTAAAGATTTTCATCGAAGCGTTTNAAAATTAAACACTATCTAAAGATTTGCATCGAAGCGTTTTTTTTTTATAGTGATTTTAATCACTGTCAGATATCATTATACTTGATCCAACTATACCACGTCACCACTGTGCCACGACCCCCCTGTTTTTGCTGGGTTTTTTTTAACTATACTAATGATCCATACTAAATAAGAGTTTTAATTCGTCCTAAAACTAAGTTCTACACAAATACAGATCTTCTTGGGCACATTCTTATTGAGACGTCTTACAATAGTGATTTTAATCACTGTTAAATTTAATACTAAATGGGTTTCCAATTTTCCCGGCATCTTTCCATAGTTACAACTATAGTAGAACCTTAGGTATTTGTTATTATTAATTTTTCACGCCAAAATATATTTTTATAATAGAACACATATATATCTTACAATTTTTTTATTTAGTTCAGGGCCCCTTAGTATTTATTTATGTCTTTACATCTAAATGTACTAGATTTTTAAATTCGACATATCTTATTTGCGTTTTTACCCACAAAAAAATATTGATAACATAAATTATAACGTACGAGAAATTTAGTGTTTTTAATAAAAAAAAAACGCAGTTATTAATATGAATATTCTTTGACTATGTGAAATAAAAATAAAGAAATTCTGTTCTTAGATTAAAGGTACCACTAAAATTATCACAATTCAATAGCCTTGTAAAATAATTGTGAATGTATCAATTTATTTAAGATACATATAACAAATGACTTTTTTATAGCAAATGTTAAAACTCGTACATGCGACATTTCTTTCTGAAAATGTTAGCATAGTACAGCCAGTTTTTTTTTACATTTGCAAATTTATAGCGCGTACTAGTGACATAACTGTCTCGATATATCAAACTATGTACAGCCCGCTATTTTTATACTATAAGATTAAAGTCATCGTTTGTTTTGAAAGTGTAATATAAATTATAACAAACTTTCAAATATCAATATGACTTTTTATAGGCAGTTCTCAAAATCAAATTCATTTGTATATATGAGTAGAGTTTCCAATAAATAATATACATAACATTATATACATGTATATATAGGTTATGATAAAAAAATAGTTATCATTAACTAAAGAACCAACTTTTTTGTATAAATTTCTTATAGTCAAATAATATTTTCAATCAATTAATGTGAATCACTTTTTTTATCTATGATATCAAATCTCGTATATAATAATGTATGTATTCAACATTTTTTATGTTGAATAGAAGTCTAAAGTAGTCTAAACTGAAGTGAAGTATATCCCAAAAATCTAATACATACAGTTGTATGGGCGCAACTAGTAACTATTAGATGTTGACCTCACCAAAAATGTAGGATATATGTGTTCTTTTATAAAAATATTCTATAGGGTGACAAATTAATAATTACACACACTAAAATTTTATACTAGATGTGCCTATAGAAAAGTTTCAGGGAATTGATAAAACAAATTAGATTTAAATTTAACAGCGATATAAAACATTATTGTAATACGTTTCAATACAAATTGCATCACCGTTTAAAATTTAACGTACATTCCATGAAACATTGAATACTAGCTAATATAATTAATTAATTCGTATGAACCAGAAAAAAAAAATTAAAAAGTATAAAATATTTCAAATTTAATATAAAATGTCTATGTGTATTAAAAGTCATTTCTTTTTATGGTAATTGTAATTTTGAATAAACAAGAATACTAGCAAGCAGTTAATTAAATATTAGTGTTCTCATTTGAAAAAATATTGACATACATACAAGGCATTCGAAATCAACTTAAAAATTATTACATAGTTAATAATTCTAGAGTTTAAATATAAAATTATTAAAAAACATCTTAGATAATTCTATCAGCCAAATAGAATTATTAAATCTAGCCTTCATTTGATATAATATTTCTTACAACTTTTCTGAGTTACATTCAATTAAGTTAAGAATATATTAAATGGTTTATTATAATAATAAAACAAAATGATAAATTTATTATAATTAAAAGTATACAGAAAAAATATTCAGCTATAGATTATTAAAGAAATATATGTATCTAATAAAAGCTAAAAGTTGACACTCAATATTTTTTTCAAGAGAAATAGAATGGCCAACGTTAAATCTGAGTTATAATTTATCGATTTTATAAAACATTTTTGAAATAAAAATAGTAAGCCAATACATTAAGTACCAATTATCTTATAAAAAAATTCATATTATAATATTGGGTACGTATCAGATTTTGGATAGTGTCACAAAAATTAATCACAAAAACTAAGAATTTAGCAGTGTCCAAACTTTTTATTCAAATAATACTAAAATAAAAAAATTTAATTGTATCTCATTGAATATATACATAATTTTTCAATTGTTTTAAATTAAAAAATAATAATATTTTATAATAAAATTTAATCATTACTATTTAAAAATAGTTTTCTATATTATTCTTGACCCTCTTTATAAATTATTATTATTAGTAATCATAACTATTGGTACTAATATGCAAATAAAGTATATAATATAATTAGGGAATATAACAAATAAAATAAAATTTCATTTTGATAAATTGTTGTTAAAATATACATGACAAATAAACAGCAATTATTTATTAATTTAACCAATGTAATTTTAAATTAATAAAATGTCACATTTTTTTAATGTAATTTTTTTTTTGGATAACGTTCAATTATTAAAAAGTAAAAATTACCATGATAGAAATCTCTATTTTTGGTAATTTATTAAAATTTCAGATATTTTAAAATATTTTAATAAATGTACTTACGACAGAGATAAGTTTGAAAGTTAAACAACAAACAATATTTATCGTACTGCATTTTAGAAATATTGAAAATTGTATTGAATTTGATTAAAATAAATTGTACCAACATATATGACTTAACATAAATTCCATCAAACATTATAATTAATTAATCTGTATAAACGAGAAAAAAGATAATTAATTTTACTAAAAAGTATAAAATCACTCAAATTTACTAAGAAAATGTCTGTTTTTGAAAAGTCATTTGTTTCTATGACAACTGTAACTTTGAATAATCAAGAATACTTTACTATTGTTAAATTAACAATTATCCTGTAATTATATTATAAAAACATTTTTTTTATGAGAAATAGAATAGAGAAATGAGAAAAATTAACATATACACATTTAATTATGTTAAAAAAACTTTAAGTTTTCTAAAAATATTTAATATTATAATAAAACAAACACATTTTATTAATATTGGTTTTTACTTTAATATTTTTTCACATATCTGCAAGAAAAATATTTATTCTATGAACATACAATGAGTAAAAATCGCTTTTGAAAATTTAATTCTAATTTTTGATTGACTCCATTAAATTTCCAGACATGATGTTAGCATAAATATAGGATTGTGAAGTTATTTGAGTTTTAGTATTTAATTTACAAGTTTTAAAATAATATAAAACATTTGTTCTTCTTTATAATATCTAAAAATAAAGCAAAAGTTTTGTTGTAATATTAGTATTTATTAATTGTATATTTTTTTTATTAATGCTCATTTTTAAATTTATTACCTTGCTTCATCAAACATTATACTAAGTCTGTGTATTACTGTCTTCTATAATTGAATCTCTTATTCTATTTGCACATATTTCAATTATTTAATTTTGAATATGATGACTAATGTGATTTGTTTCTTTGTTGAATATTTCAGAAAACTTAGGTATATGCTTGGAAAATAAAACACAAGTTTCGTTGAAATTTCCCAAGAAAAGTTATTTATTAAAAAATTAATAATTATATCTTCTCAGTTTTAATTACTTATTATTAGGTGATTAGATTACTTAAATTAGTTCCCTACATTGATTTAATGATGAATTATTTTTATTGTGACGGGCCATTCTTTGGATACTCAATAAATTGTTATGTTAATTAGACTTTTCATATATTCCCTATAAGCATCAACTTCTAGTTTAGATTGAATTATTAACTGGATATGAACAGTGTCAGTTTTTTAACAATTATTTATGAGTTTTTGTACTAGAACAAGCTTTGTTAGTTTTCCATTTTTGAGACCTCTAGATCCACATAACTAATAAATATAAAAAACAATTAATTAAAGTTAATTTTTGAACAATAATTATGCCAGACACAAAAATATTCAACCTACTAAAATGAAGGATTGGAGCCATGGTTTTGTTAATGGAATTAGCTAAATATAATTCATTAGCTATTAATAATAGACTAAAAACAATTAAAATATGTATTTAATATACAATATAAATACTATACTGTTAGTTTTATACATGATTTACCTCTAATATGAATCTTTTTGGACCAGACTCTAAATCACCTAAATCAAATTTCCAGTTGCATATAGATGATGTAATATAGTTTTTAATCATTTTTTACTTGATTAGAGTCACCGCTGTTTCAGGATTTTTTGGTTAAAGATAACAAATAATTTTGAATTTGTTATTTTATTAATAAATTAATTTAAATGAAAAAAAAATTAACAGTTCAGCTACAATACAGATTTATTTCTCCATGTAGAAAAAGTGCAAATTAACAATGGTAACGAGAAGATAGTATTTCATAGCTAAATATAGAATTTGTTGAAATAATGAACATATTATTAAAGTCAATACATTGCACAGGCTAAAGAATGCTAACATTAGCATTATCTATGTTACATTTACCACAGATTATATAAATGAATATACTGTGAATATTTTATAGCATATAAATTCTGATATTTTGAAATGGTAAATCCGTTTAACAATGATTTAACAATAGAGTTATAGACTCGGTGTACATAAACTTGCCAGAAATTGTTAACTCATTACAATGAATTGCTGATAGAGAACTTCTCAATATAAAATTAAAAATTATTTCAGAAGCACAATTATTTACAAAATTCTAAAATTGATTTAATAACTGCACATGATATGGTTTCAACATGTTTTTCAGATATTCCATCTTTCAGAAATGAGGAACATTTTTTAAAAATAAAATGTAGAGCAAATGAATCGTGTGAACAGTTTGGAGACAAAAATGACTTTGAGCAAGAACGTATCAAATTTGGATATATTGAGTATTGAGATCATTATAGAACAAAAAATTAACTTTAATAATGTAATAAATACATTTACTTTACTACTGGAAAAGCGCAGAAAAATTATGTAGAGTTCTATGCTTTTATAATATTTATTTTCTTCTACTTTTATTTTTGTATATTATGATAAAAATAAAACTTAATTCTAGAGTGAATTATTTTTGTATTGGATTAGAATTAATATAATTATTTGTCATTACATTCTACTATTATGCACATTAATAAATTATTTAACAATATAGAGACAAAGCTCTAAGTAATGTTAGTGCTATCAATGATTTTCTTATCTTAAACAATTCGATACCATAAAATAAATGATTAATAAACAATCCGACAAACTTGAAATTGGATTTCCTATTCGTTCTTTTAAAATCAGAAACGCTAATGAATTAGCTTCAATAAGAAATACAATAGATGATGCCCATATAAATATAATTGATAAAGAATATAGGAACTTATTGTTAGAAACAATATAATCACATTCTCATTCTTAGACTATACAATTACTAATGATTGGCATGTCGTTGTTAGTGATATTAATGATTGTCAACATAGTTTAATTCAATATTGTCATAATACACTCGACACTATCACAATATGATATAACAGAGGACTGCTCTGTTTGTGTCCACAATAATGGTCGTTCATTTAAAAATTATTAACACTTTTATTTATAAATTATAAAAAAAATACTATAAAAGGGCCGAGTGCTGAAGGCTTAAAAAGAGAGTCTGTCTCTAAATATTCATTGAGCTGGTCGAATCATGCTTTCGACATCGATACGCCAAGTTCGTAATCATCATTGTGAAATTCTTAATTGTTAATTTATGAACTAAACATTTGAGTTCGTGTTATTTTATTATAACCTGATATTGTCAAAAGTTATTATAGAGCCAAGAAAAATCTTCAGGTAAGACTTTAAATCATTAAGAGTCAATACTTATATTATCTTATAATTCAATTATTTAGAATTAATAATCTGAGTATAGAACGATAAAGCAATAGATCAAATAATTATATTAATCTTTAAACTTCAATTAATTATTATTAACTAGTTCGGACCTTATACATAATCACATTACATAGTAGTAACAATTGGAGCACTTAAAAGAACATTCATAGATTCAAAAATAATTAAATTAGAGGGCAAAGCAATTGGAATAAAAAATGGGGTGACAAATTGTATTTCAAAAAATGAATTTCACAACTTAAATAATCAAATAAAATTTAATCTAAAAAAGAAACTAAAGATCAAATTGATATGGCTATCAAACATTTAAAAAATTCTTTCATTACTAATCAAAATACCCTTAATAGAGTATATATAGGCAGACAAATATTTAAACACTATGAAGAACCCACAATAATATTCTTCTCGGGAAATATAGATGAAGCCATTTTAATTAACCTAGGTTTTAAGGGAATAAACACTTTGAATATAATAGTTAAAAAGTATGACAAACACATCGAAAAATTTCTCATATCAAACTCAAACAATGATAGTCATAAAATAATGGAAGAATGTAATGATGAAATATTAGATAATGAATTCTTTACATCCGTTGAAACTTTGACACCAAAGGGAATTTCTTCCAAGATTTTAGCTATTGTAAAAATTCCGTATGTTCAGAAAGTAGGGAATTTGTTAGGCTTGTCAGATACCCATAATTTAATATGCGGGAAGAAACATCTATCACATGGAGAGCCACATCTTCAAACTTCAATTAATTATGATTAACTTGTTCGGACCTTATACATAATCACATTACATGGTATTCGTGAGATGGCCACCTCCTCTTCGTTGCCTCAGTGTATTATTATAGGTACTTACTAGTTGAATCATTTACAATATCTCTATAAGAAGAACCTTGATTATTACTTTTTATATCTACTTGTCTTTATTGTTCTAAACCCTCGGACTCTACAACCCCGATAGAACCTCGTTGCTCACCAATTGACCAAATCCCCAAAATATCCAATCTTGGTCAAAAACACCCTAACATCTCCTTATTTAGATATTTTTGCATTATTACAAAGTGGCGCCCAACAACAGGCTTAGTTAAATTCTACTAAGGGTTTCATAAATATTACTCAGAAAAAGCATTGGAATTGTGATTTTTACTTTATTCATATGAAGACTTGGTTGAGAATTGTTTCTTTTTCAATTAAAAAATTTAATTAAATCAAATTTTGAGAATTAAATCGCGCTTATTATATAAAAATTTTAATTATTTATTTATTGAAAATTAAAATTGCGTTAGTTGAAATTAAATTGAATTTAAAAATTAAACTACGCTTATTTGTTTGAATATCAAAAATAAAATCGCGCTTATTGGAATTATTTATTTATTGAAAATTATATTGCGCATAAATTAAACTAAAATTATAACTCACGTAAAGTAAAGAATTGAAATTATTATTTGGAATTGAATTGTTGAATGTAAAATTGAATTTATCATTGATTGAAAATCATATTGCGCTTACATTAAAAGTCGTTTAAACCTAAAAAATTTTATAGGTTTATTATATAAAAATTGAAATTATTATTGAAAATTGCGCGTACTTGAAATTATTTAAATTAACATTTTGAAATAAAAAAAAAAAAAAATTACGAGTTGAGAATAAATTTATTTGAATAATACAGAATTTGAGAATAAAATTGTATGAGTGAATATTTAGTGTTATGTCAGAGGAAATAGAATTAATTGAGATACAAGGTATTCCAGACGAATACAAAAAAACATTAGAGTGGATTAATAGTTTAAAAAGATCTGACCTTATTAAAGAACTGGAAACAAGAAAGTTATCTACCACAGGCACAGTATCAGAATTAAAAGTTAGGCTATTTTGGTTTTTTCTACCCAAAACATTAACGCAAACTAACAAAAAAAATATTATTGATCAAAATTTAAATTCACCCAATGTAATTAATAATTTCAACATGAATAAAAATTTATTTTTCAAACCAACTACATTTTCGGGAGGTATAAACGAACGCGTAGACTCATTTCTAAAAACATTTAATAGAGCAGCAATAATTAATAATTGGTCAGATATTGATAAACCCCAATATCTAGTTGCATTTTTACAAGGCGCAGCTCTTACTTTTTATGATAATATTGAATCAAAGAGATTACCCTGGAATGATTTAGAAAAAAAAATTAGAGAAGAATTTGAACCTATTGCTCAATATGACATGTTACGTATTTTGTTAGAAAAAAGAAAACAGTTAGATGATGAACAAACGGTTTCTTATATTAATGATATGGAAGCTTTATGTAAAAGAATTGATAGTAATATGTTGGATAGTGAATTAGTAAGAAATGTAATGAAGGGTCTCAAACCAAATATTGCTAGATATGTTAGTATTCTTGATAATTGTAATTTAGATGAGTTAAAAAGAAATATTCATAAGTATGAAATGGTTGAATTTATGATCACCGGAGAAACAGTTAAGAGTCCATTTGAGAAAAAACAATACATAATAAATGAAAAAATTAATCAAATCACTCAAAACAGTGAAAATAATGATATAAAAAAATTAACTGAAGAATTTCAATATTTAAAACAGAATCAAGAACAATTTTACAATGAATTTATTAACTTAATGCCGATCAATAATCATTATCAAAACAATTCTCGATTTAATAATTTGTCAGCAATTAATAATAGACCACAAAAAAATAATAGTTTTAACAATAATTTTCAACCAAACAAATATCAAAATAATTTTAGAGCTAATTATAGTTCACAAAATAATAATCAGTTTCGTAATAATGCTTTTCCTTACAAGAATAGTCCTAATCCTAATAATCAAAATTATCAAGCGCGTTTTAACAACAATAATTTTTCATATAATCAAAACCGATATCCAATTAACACACAAAATAGGTATACTGTCAAGCAAAATTGGCAAAATCAAAATGATTATAACCCTCAAAGAAACAATTATAATGGAAATAGTAATTACCAATCTAAAGTAAATAAACAAACTGAATATTCAAAAAATCTTAATTGTAATATATGTCATAGAAATTCTCATGACACATCAAATTGCTTTTTTAAGAATAATCAAATAATTTGTAATTCAGTTGGACACACAGCTTTAAAATGTAAAGAATTTCAAAAAAACTAAGTACTAGATTAAACGATAGTGCTGATCAAAACAGTTCATCTTTTAAATCAGCACAGAAAATTGTCAATAACATAACACACACTAAACACATGCCTATAGCTTTACATTTGTATGCTTTATTTAATGACATTAAAATACCTATCATTATTGACACAGGATCAAATATATGTTGCATAACACATACCCTGATACCTAACAACCAAATAAAATCACAATACAATATGAAAATAAGTGGCCCTGACAATAGACCATTAAATATTTTAGGCACAACAAATATTGTCTTAAAAATTGAATCAATAAATTATCACATTAAAGTGTTTGTGGTAAAATAATTATCTTGTCTAATAATTCTTGGTAATGATTTTTTGGAACAACATAATAGTATCATAGACTTTGATAAGGAAGTGATAAAATTAAATGAAAATACTTTTATACCCATATTTCTTGATAACAAATTAAATTGTAATCAATTAACTTATAACTTTTCTGAAAAAGTAATGGATCTGTTTACAGTGTACGATTATTATTCTATAGCACATTGTATTTCAGCCGACCTTAGAATGAATAAGGGCATATCATTAGACATATGCAATAAATATGGCAACATGGCTCCTATATTATACAAATTAAAACCAAAAGTAGGTGATGCTATCCCAGTTTGTGCTAATGGTAGAGTAATTTATTTTTTAATTACAAAAAATTATCATTTTGAAAAACCAGAATATATAAATATTGAAAAAGCTTTAAATAATTTAAAAATAGAAATGATAAAACATCATGATACACATATAGCAATGCCTAGAATAGCATCAGGCCTAGATAAAAAAGAATGGACCATAATTAAACAAATGATTTTTTCAACTTTCATAAACACTAGTATTAATATTTTAATTTGTCATCAAAATAATGAATATGTTACTAATGATTGGAAAACTGAAGAACATAATTCAGTTATAAATACGATTAAACAATTTTATAATAAAAATATATCAGACAAAGTCACTATTTATAATCAGAGTAATGATAACTTAATAATTTTTAAATCTTATAAAAAGGGAGAAAATATTTATAGTGAAAATAATTGCGGATTTTTTGCAATTATAATCGCACTTAATGAGGGAAAAGATGAAAAAGTAACTTCTGTTTTTGAAATATTAGAGCTTTTAGAATTATCTGATTTACCTAATTATTGATTTAGTGATGATGAATTAGCAGCTATTGCGAATCATTACAATCATGACACATATATTTTTAATGACACAGATAAAACTGGAATCATTTATGGTTTAGGTAATCGCTCACCTATAGTCTTATACAATGTAGATAAAAATACACACTGGATTCCAGGTACACAATCAAATAAACCATCAAGAGATATTCCTTTAAACACAATAAATTTTACAGAATTTGAATCAATAAACAATTTATAAAAATCTATTTTTAAACACATAAATAAAAAAGAATCTGATAATATTGACAATGATACTAACAATAATATCGAAATAAATAATTT